ATGATGCTCTTGGGACAGATGTAATTCTTTGCTATGCTCAATATCTGGAGGTTTTGGTTGTAATTCTCCATAGTCCTCATCTTGTAATTGGAGAAGCAAATATTGTTTGTTGGGGCACCTATGGCTTGGGGAAAATTTTTCATCACAAGTATAACAAAGGCCTTTTTCTCTCCTAAGTTGCACCTCAGTAGGGGTTATTTTCTTAATATTGGTATTTCTTATGGTTGTTGTGGTTGGAGATGTATTAGGATTAGGAAGGAGGGGTGGTAAGCTAGTGGATTTAATGGTTTGGCTTATAGGTAGGCTTGTGTTTTGGTTGCTGGGTAGGCTTGATAGTGTTTGGGTGTGGAAAGGTACTTCTCTTCATATAACTTGGCCAAGGAAACAGATCGAATCAAAGTTGAGGGCGATTGAGCAATCACATCCCTTCTAATATCCAATTTTAAGCCTCCAATAAAACAATCTAACAAAGCTTCAGTGGTGATACCTTGCACTCAATTAGCTAGAGCAGTGAATTGAACATAATAATCATGCACAAAATCTGTTTGTGTTTCTCACCGGTTCAATGACCGGTCCGGTTTTTAAAACACTGCATAAAATATTATATTTAAATATATAAATTATATTTATAAAAAATATGCATAAATATTTTAAACATATAAGATATTTATGATAAATAATTTATATTGTAAAAAATATTTTTTTATAATTTATTTTAAAATATTAGTATTTAAATCATAAAGATAAATAAAAATTGAATTACATAAAGAGTTAAAAAAATTATAAACATTTTCGTTGAAGAAAAATTCTTAAAAAATACTTGTAATATAGAAATTTTTGTTTAATATATAAGGGTTGATTAAAAATAAATTTTATTGTATTAAAAAATGCTCAAAATAATTATTATATCTCTAAATAAGTTATTTTTAAAGACACCTCATTTTATTTAAGAGACTCAAGTTCCTCGCTACTAGGGATGCCAACGGGACAGGTCGGGTACGGGTTTCATAATACCCGTCCCTGTCTCCGCGAGTCAAACACATCCTCATCCCCGTACCCGTACCCGTCGGGTATATAATTTTCATCATCATTCCTGTTCCCGTCGGGTGTTGGGTATACTTGTACCCGTCAAAAAAAAAAATTCATTTTGTAAAAAAAAATATAATATTTTAAAATTATTTTTCTATTATAATATAATTATAATTAGGTTATTTTTCTATTTCATATTATAATAAATAATCACACATAATAAAATTTTAATAAAATATTAAAAAAAATTAACATAATTAAATTGGAAGTAGGTATTAAATTGGGAATGGGAACGGGGACGAGTACGGGAACGGGTACGGGACGGGTAAGTATATACCCGTACCGGTACCCATACCCGATCAAACTAGGTATTTTCGTCAAAGTTGGGACAGATTCAAATATTACCTACGAGTACAGGTATATTTGTCATTCCTACTCACCGTTGATATCAACCATTTATCTGTTCTTTTGACATACTTTAATAAATTTTATGAAAACTACTAACTTATTAAAGTTAACTCTTTCCAGCTTATTTTAATAAATTATAATAAATCTTGTCCTTATACTTCATGTAATAAGTAAAAAAAAAAATACTAAATAAATATTTAGTTAAATTATTTAACCAACCGCTAAAAAACCTTATTAAATAAGTATTTATTTAGTCAACTAAATAACTTATTGAGAAAAGTTTTTATAAAGTCTTCATAGAACTTTACTTTTAAAAATGAAAAGTTAAATCATTAGTTTAAAATTATTTTATTTAAATATGAATAAAAAAATTGGTAATTAAAATTTATATTAATTTTAAAATATATATTTTAAGCTAATTTTCATGTAAATAGTATATATATATATATATATATATATATATATATA